TGAAATGGTCAAGAAATAAATTAGCCTTTTCTGTGCTGGTGAGTATAGAAGAGCCGTTTTGGTTGGTCAAAATAGGAATCCTAACAACTTTAGTTTTGAATAAAAGTTTAGATATGACCGACCAGTAAGACTTGCTGCCATATTTAAGGGAGTTTATTTCTCATACATGTGTGATTCATACTCAAGTTTGGCCTTTGTTATTTCCTCGTTAACAATATCACACTGGTCAATGTACTTTTGATAGCGTTCTTGATTGTTGTTGTGGCGGTATTTGAAATGTAGACGATTCCGTTTATTAATTAGTGTTTTAATGTGAGGCTTGAACCATGGTTTATCATTGCTCCGGACCTTTATAAGTTTATTTGGAATGGTATTGGTAAATATTTGGTAGAGTTGGTTAGTAAATTGATCACATAACATGTTCATATCATATGAATTTTCAATAAGTTGATCAAGTTTTGAATTTCTAATTGAGTTGTTGATATTTTGAACATCAGCCTCGGAATATGACCAAATTCTACGGAAATATGGCAGTTCCTTCACTGTACCAATAAATGAAGTACAGACTAGAGTGCTGTGGTCAGTATTTCCGAGCATTCGGAGTACAACATTAAAAAAATAAAGCTATGTATGAAGTTTACCAATGCAAATCTGGAAAACATTGTCATTTTTTGCTCAATTTGTTATCAAGTTTAAGCATGGTGCTCATTTCCTTTCGTTGAAAATTAACCATCAGCCCATTCTCCCACAAAAAAGATATTGAAACTGTATAATGCAGAGACTGCAAAGTAGCTTCTCTGCAAACATCATTGTTGTGGGAGTTTGGGCTCACCACTAAAACTCAACTTTTGTGATGAAAATTAGGCTGACTGGTTTATGTTTTCAATATGGCTGCTAACCTGGGCAAACATGTACACTACATAACTGCATGTACAGATTAGGCCATTCAAAAGTAATTATATGTTGGCATTCTGATAAAGGGCCTTCTATTAAAAACTACAAAACCTTTATTTATTTAAAGGGTTTTATATATTATTTAATAGTGAAAATGCAATAACACATAGTGGAAAAGCAAGTAACACCTCTTGATTCAGATGACCTTGTTAATGAAGCCAATACCAAAGCTTAAATACATGTAGTTTTTAATCAATCTTGGAACTCATTTCAATACAATATAATTCATGATCACAATTATCTCTATCATTTACATGCATTACAAGTACAGAGTACATGGGGGCATTTTGTTTTTTTCTGAAAAAAGAATTTTGTGACATCAATTATTTTTTGAATGGCCTAAGTGTTTTTCTAAACATTGAATAAGTAGAAATTATTTTAGGTAATCTTTTGAGTGTCATGCCATTTATACATGATGCTGCCTTATATTTTATTATATATATATTGAAATTCAAATATGGGAACTGTAAATTGGCAAATAACTTTAAAACTAAGTCTCCATACAGACATTTATCAAAAATATTTTTATTTCCATTCACATGTCTTGTTATCAGTCAAAATCAAAATTAAGCCAATTGCTTTCATTTCTTGTATTAGAAAACGGCAAAATTTTGACAAAAATAGCATCTTTCAAAGTTGACCTTTAAACAACCCTTATGTCAAGGTCAAATGTCTAAATTCTCAGAAATCACATTTTAAGTAATAAGTCATACTTCCTCTTCAATTCCATGTCAATAGATACTTGTTTTGTAGGGGGGCTAAAAGAGGGGTTTACCGCCACCTGTCCTTTTGGGGGTGCCAGAGGGGGAGGTGGGGTTGGGGTGCCAGAGGTGTTTGTCCCCCATATCGGTCCCCTAGAAACATTGACCATAATCAAGGTGCTATTTGATGAAGTCTGGGCACTTTTAAAGTGTCTGACACAATACATGAAATAAATTCAGAATCTTTGTCAATTATTTTGTGGGGATGTGAGGGGTGGCCTACTTCCCTAGAAAATTTTACAATTTTAAGATGCTATTTGGTGCTTTCTGGGCACTTTCAAAGTGTATGAGTCAATAAAAAATTTGAAAGAATCACATTTTCTCAATTCTTTGGGGGTTTCAAAGGGGTGCCAGAGGGGATGGGGGGGGGGGGGGGTGGGGATGCCAGAGGGCAAGCAAGTGTTAGTCCCTCAGAAACATTGTCTATATCAAGGAGCTATTTCATGATGTCTGGGCACTTTAAAAGTGTCTGAGACAATACATTACATAAATTCAGAACTTTTCAATTGTTTTGTTGGGGTGTTAGGGGTGGCTCATTCCCCTAGAAAATTTTTACAATTTCAAGACGCTATTTGGTGCTTTCTGGGCACTTTATCTGTTTTGTTGGGGGTGAGAGAGTGGCCCACCCCCTTAGAAAATTTTACAATTTTAAGATGCTGTTTGGTGCTTTCTGGGCACTTTATGAGTCAACAACGAAAAAAGATATCTGACGGCCCTGCAATAAAAATATAATATGTGGGAGAATGATCACTTTCAGTATTGCCATAATTATGATGAATTCCATTTTATTAAATCATCAACATCACTGGTGATCCACTCGATTACGCTGGTTACCAAAACGGTTCGTTTTGGTAACAAGATGTCGGAACATCGAATGTACGATTTTTCTTTTTTCCCTATTTCACACGCTGTAGGCAGAATTCCCACAACATTTTTAACACAAACGTGTATCAGTATCATATGTTTAAGAAAATGTACATATTTGCGAACAAATAGTTCAGAAGACGACAGAATCGTCGATTTAATTCCTCACTTAACTTACATAAACGATTTTTCGAAAAAGAGTTTAGATCTGCACTTTTAACACAAACCGTTTATGTAACTTAAGTGAGGAATTAAATCGGCGATTCTGTTGTCTTCTGAGCTATTTTTCGCAAACTTGTACATTTTCTGATATTTTCATGATACTGATCTACTTTTGTGAGAAAAAAACGTCGTGGGGATTCTGCCTATAACGATATGGCGTGAAATAAGGAATAAAGAAAAATCGTACCTTCGACGTTCCGACATTTCGTTACCAAAACGAACCGTTTCGGTAACCAGCGTAATCGAGCGGATCACCAGTGAACATGTATGCATATAATCATGTTTTTATTTTTCAGTTATTTCTTTAAATCATACATGAAAAGTACAAAATTCGATTTTTCTTGGAATGTGTAAAGGAACCAATTTTGAAAACCCGCCAAGGCAATACTTGTTCATAAAATGTGGCAAGTTTCAGAAAGCCCATAATTTCAATGAATTTTTCCACAAATATTTTTGAGGGAAATCCTGGGGATTGTCCGAACCCATCGAACCCCTGGAGGATTCGAACCCCCGGTCCCTACGGCTATGCATAGTATATGAACAATTACATGTATAATGTAGGGGTACCACAGAGAGCTAATTTAACAATGTGGTTAACATGCTGAGAATATGTTTGTCCTTATTTGCTTAAATTATTAAAGCAGTGTATTTTTCGAAAACTTTGTACGTGATTTTACATTCCTATTGTCTGATTGTATCGGGGATTGTATGAGTATTTGCCATGTAAATTGAAATAAAGATCTATAAAAAGTAGTGGTGTCATTTGATGAGGTTGTATTATGTACAAAATTAAACATTATCGATAACATTTTCAAAAAATTATATATACGAGGATTGTCCAAAAAGTCTTGAAACTTTTGCTCTCGTAACATCAATGTTTATTCTTTTGGTATCATATTTCACATGGATGATCTTTGGACATTAATTGTTCAGTTTATAAGTTTGAAGGCATTACACTGTATGGTTTCATTTTTATGAACATTGGAAGAGTACTTTTAAAGAGGCTAAAATCAAGAAAAATCATCCAAAATGCTGAATATAGGACCATATCCTATGTATGCAATATTCAAAATGTATAGAAGTATGTAAAAGTGGGAACGGAATAGCCATCGTGACCGGACCGTCCGTTCAGCCAATACTGAACTGATATATTTTCATTTCTCGTGTAGACCAATACAGCCCTACGACGTCCTTGAAAAAACAGAGGCAAATTCGATCATATTTTGCATAGGCCCAGAGAAGAGACTTGACTGACTTCCATCAGTGACAATTTCTTCATTAACCAATCAAATCACGTGTTACAAGTTTAGCTAAGCGTGAAATCGCAAATCCAACTAACGTCTGTCGGCTACCGGATTAACAATCTATTTTATTTTACCATTCTCTTTTAAATATGAATAGTACCACTATGCCATTCGAATCTAATGAGTTGGTCATAAAATAGTAGTTTAAATCCGGTAGCCGACAGGCGTTAGTTGCATTTGCGAATGCAAGGTTAGTTTCAACTTGTAATACAAATGTAGCTATCTATGGTTGTTGTGCTAAATGCCATATTATATGCAGTTCTAAGAGATAAAGATTTGAAAAAATAAATGGTATAAGTGAAAAGCACTTTGAAGAAGATTTTGAAGAGATTTGAGAATAGATCTTAATACTAGTAAGGAGAACTCGTACTAAGACGGCAAGTTTTTTTTCAGTTAGGGTTGTCAACCTATATTTTTAGATTGAGCTTGCTGATACTTTTCACGGGGCCTATGATATTTCATAAGACGTCTTGAAAATGCTTGTGTAAATTCGGCATAGTTTTCTGATACGTTTTACCCTTTAAGTTTTCCGTCTTGGAATGTGTAGTGTAAATTGGGCTATTGGAGGTCTGTTTAACCAAGGAGCATTTTTAAAAAAAGCAATAACACATAATTGGGCAACTAAACGATGAAAAACCAACCCCAACCCCCAAAAAATTAATTATAGCACGCACAACCAATGTCTAACGAACATAATACTAATCCATCATTTAGAGATCACAAGGCGTTTATGCAATATGTCACTACCTGCCATTCGTTACTCGATCGCTGGACGATTAACGATATGTCACCACTTGTGGTGGTGACATAATAAACCAAAAATGCAGGACCATGATTGGGAATTTTCATTCGTACAGGATATTGCATTTTACAAGTTAAAGAACAAGAAAGTGTGTAAAATGATACAATATTTTATTTTAATATACAACAAATACAAATTCTATGATAAAATATAAACAAAGAATTTCCTACTATTATGATACATAACGAGAGTCACAGAAGCGTCTCAGAAAGTGCTGGCATCGTGTGAAGAACATTTGTTGAAAATCTTATATCATCATCATAATTTATATACAGAATATTTATACAGTGTTACATATGGTTTGTAATATACGTTATATAATAATTTGAAGTGCAATGCAGGATATAGGGCGCTCTGTTTTAGCACGAGACAAAGTCGAGTACCAATACTGAATATTGAGAGCAAAATTTATGCTGTTTTGCGCTTCAAATCACTCTATAACGTTTTTATCATGTGATCTTATTAGGCCAATACATTTACTTATGTCCCCTCCGTGCCAATATTTTTTTATTGCAACGGAGATGATCAATGGGGACAATCTCAGTACCAATATTAATACAGATTGGTACAGCACAAGAACTGACCAATCAGAGGGCTTCATTTTACAGATCATACGATAAATGGTTATATAGTTCTATCAAAATGTATATAGTAGAACCTATGTATATTGAACATTTTTTGTCGAGAAAAACCCGTTAAGTGTTGGTAGGCGTTCACCAGCAGAGTATTGTGCGGAGGAAGAATGTCCACTAGAGACAGGTGTTCACTCGAGAAAGGTGTTCACTAAAACAGGTTTTACTGTATATACGTTTGTCACTGCTCTTATGTACACAATTTACAAGAAATATTATATGAGTGCCGTCACTTTTTACAAACTGATTTCATTTATTATACATTTTCCAATTGGCATGTCTTCATTTTGTTAGTTTTCAAATATGGCATCATATTTTCGTAATGACACCATTCACAACTGACATGTTTTTAATTTGACAATATCATGCACAATTGGCACATCACACGTTTTCATTATGACAATATGCTCAACTGATGATGTTTAACAACGGCATTATTTACAATTCGCATATCGCATGTTCACAATGACAATATTCAAACTTTATATGTTTTGAATATGCCAGGATTGACAAATGGCATCTTTTCTTTATTACAATTGGCATATGATTTTTATAATGAATATACTTACAACTTGCATCATGATAATATTCACGAATGACATGTTTTTTTTTATATATATCACAATTTTCAAAAGTACGTTTTCATGATGACAATATTCGCAACTGACATATCCACGAATGCCATGTTTTCATGATGAGAATTTTCACATATGAAATTTATGCGACGATATTCAAAACGGGCGTATTTCTGGTTGGTAATATAACATGTTTTCATTCGGACAGTATTCATAATTGATGTTTTCATTTTGACTGTATTCCTCACTAACATTTGTATTCATTATGATAATATTCTACACTTATATTTCATTTTGACAATAACTTAAATTGCCAAATGCTGTTTTCCGTATGACAGTATTTACAAATTACTTGTTATCATTTTGACGAAATTCACAACGTACATAAAGTTTACATTATAAATAATTATTTTCAGAGTAATAATATTTATAACTGACATGTTTACATTTTCACATATCCATGTTTTAAGTATGAAACTATTCACAACTAATAAAAAAATTGCCAAAGGTATAAAATTCTTAAACACTAACGTGTAACCAATACTGTATTGTACAATGTACGTTTACCATGTAACTGTATTGTAATTGTTTTTTTTTTCAATTGCTTTAATACGCTTTTTCTTCTCTGAAAATCAATTAAATAAAAAAAAATTATTTCAAGATGACAATATTTACAATTGGCATAATTTCAGTCACAACTGGATGGTTTCATTTCTCCATATATTCACAATTGACATGTTTCCATTTTGACAACATTCAAAACTGACATGCTTTCATTATGACAATATTCACAACTGGCATATTCAACAAATGACATATATTCGCAACTGATAAGCTTTCTTTAAGACAATAAACTCAACTGATATGTTTAACAAATGTATTTCCATTATGGCAATATTCACAACTGGCATATTTACAAACGATTTTCGCGACTGACATGCTTTCTTTAAGACAATTATCTCAACGGAAATGTTTCTATCTATATTAACAAATGTAGTTTCCAATATGACAATATTCACAACTGGCATATTCCACAAATGACATATATTCGCAACTGAATGCTTTCTCAAGACAATAAAACCAACTGACATGTTTCTATCTATATTAACAAATGTGTTTCCATTATGACAATATTCGCAACTGGCATACTTACAAACGATTTTCGCGACTGACATGCTTTCTTCAAGATAATTATCTCAACAGACATGTTTCTATCTATATTAACAATTGTAGTTTCCAATATGACAATATTCACAACTGGCATATTTACAAACGATTTTCGCGACTGACATGCTTTCTTCAAGATAATTATCTCAACGGACATGTTTCTATCTATATTAACAAATGTATTTCCATTATGACAATATTCACAACTGGTATATTTACAAACGATTTTCGCGACTGACATGCTTTCTTTAAGACAATTTTCTCAACGGAAATGTTTCTATCTATATTAACAAATGTAGTTTCCAATATGACAATATTCACAACTGGCATATTCCACAAATGACATATATTCGCAACTGAATGCTTTCTCAAGACAATAAACTCAACTGACATGTTTCTATCTATATTAACAAATGTATTTCCATTATGACAATATTCGCAACTGGCATATTTACAAACGACTTTCGCGACTGACATGCTTTCTTTAAGATAATTATCTCAACGGACATGTTTCTATCTATATTAACAAATGTATTTCCATTATGACAATATTCACAACTGGCATATTCAACAAATGACATATATTCGCAACTGATAAGCTTTCTTTAAGACAATACACTCAACTGACATGTTTCTATCTATATTAACAAATGTATTTTCATTATGACAATATTCACAACTGGCATATTTAGAAACGATTTTCGCGACTGACATGCTTTCTTTAAGACAATTATCTCAACGGACATGTTTCTATCTATATTAACAAATGTATTTCCATTATGACAATTTTCACAACTGGCATATTTACAAACGATTTTCGCGACTGACATGCTTTCTTTAAGACAATTATCTCAACGGACATGTTTCTATCTATATTAACAAATGTATTTCTATTATGACAATTTTCACAACTGGCATATTTACAAACGATTTTCGCGACGACTGACATGCTTTCTTTAAGACAATTATCTCAACGGACATGTTTCTATCTATATTAACAAATGTATTTCCATTATGACAATTTTCACAACTGGCATATTTACAAACGATTTTCGCGACTGACATGCTTTCTTTAAGACAATTATCTCAACGGAAATGGTTCTATCTATATTAACAAATGTAGTTTCCAATATGACAATATTCACAACTGGCATATTTTACAAACGACATCCGCAACCGACATGCTTTCTTTAAGACAATAATCTCAACTGAAATGTTTCTATCAATATTCATTTTTTTATATAAATAAATAAATAAAAAAAAATATATCAATATTCATAAATGACCGCGGGTTGTTTCTAAAATGAATCGGGGGATTTTTACATGCATTTCGCTTGTGCTTTTCATGTAAAAAACTTCAATACACTTTCATTGACTACAAGATTGCACCATATAATCCCCCAAAATATTTCTCACTTTCAAAGATTATCTATGGATTAATACCCCAGTCACATTTGTCGCACGGCGGCCGTAAGTCGACCGCAGATCAATTAAATCAGTGAATTTCTGCGGCGAGCGTATGAAAACTACGGGCGCCTTGCCGCCTCCGTACGGCGTATGCAAATTTTTACAGGCCGCAGGGAAGGCGTAGAAATTATAACTCGGATCGCGGAGTTATAATATTTTTCATTTCTGCGGTGCCCGTAGAAATCAATTGGCTCAACAAGATTGAGTCATTATTTGTCAATGTTTCACTTTTCATTTGATATTACATCCTAGCACTATGAATAACATCTATAAATTGTCCTGATGTAAATAAAATGAAAAAAGAATTATTTATCAACAGAAATTTAAAATTCACCGTGCGGCTGCCGTAGGAAATGTGACTGCAAAAGTATGAGAGCGCAGAAATTCTACGGCGAGCGAATAAAAGCTACTGGCCGCAGAAATGATAGACCGCACGGCGGCCGTGGGAAATGTGACTGGGGTGTTACACCCAGGTATTTTTATTTTTCAAACTTCAGAGGGCTGGGAATCATTGATTATGAATACTTTTGAATAATATAAATGCTGTTTTAAATAGGTTTCATGTGTGCCAATAATTTCTCAAATTATGTAAATGGTACCCATTCCTTTATTCCTAGATTTTTTTGAGGAATTTCCCCTAGTAATCTAATGGTATAGTTCCAAGCAGATTTTGAGATAACAGGAAAGTTAATCATTAATACACACCTTATTGGGTTATTTTGGTTTATATCACAAAATCCCTTTCAAAATATTTTATACCCTAAATCTTACCAGAATTTTTAAATCGCAAGTCTCTTGTTTTTAATGTAAACCTCATAGTGAATTCACGTTTAAAAACTTAAGATGGACTCGTCAGAAATAAAAAAATTCGAAGTTTTGAAAGTTTCAGGGTTTGATCTAACACCCCAGTCACATTTGTCGTACGGCGGTCGTAACACCCCAGTCACATTTGTCGTACGGCGGCCGTACGTCGACCGGAGATCAATTAAATCGGTGAATATCTGCGGCGAGCGTAGGGAAACTACGGACGCCTTGCGGTCTCCGTACGGCATATCCAGTTTTTTACAGGCCGCAGGGAAGGCGTAGAAATTATAACTCGGAGTTATAATATTTGTTCATTTCTGAGGTCCCCGTAGAAATCAACTGGCTCAACAAGATTGGATCATAATTTGTCAATGTTTCACGATCACTTTTCATTTGATATTACATCCTAGCACTAAAATAACATTTATAAATTGTCCCGATGTAAATAAAATGAAAAAAAGAATTATTTATCAACAGAAATTTAAAATTCACCGTGCGGCTGCCGTGGGAAATGTGACTGCAAAAGTATGAGAGCGCAGAAATTCTACGGCGAGTGTAGAAAAGCTACTGGCCGCAGAAATGATAGACCGCACGGCGGCCGTGGGAAATGTGACTAGGGTGTTAGCGGTTACTCACAACAAATGGTAAAGTTTCACATATGTGTTATACCTGTTTGATGTGTACTTCTTTTGAAAAAGGAACCGGCTAGTACATATTGTCAAAAAGTTGAGCCTAGACCATGATTTACATAAACAGATACTCATGTTTCAATTCTTCATCTGATTTCGCATACATATTATCTCCGGTACTTTCACTTGGTCGACCAGACGAAGGTGATTGTCTCGTTTTCAGAAGGTAGAATACGATACATAAAAGAATAATGATAATTACACATAACGCAGAAGTTGCACATGCTATGACAAGGACTATGGAATTATTATGTGCTGCCGTGTGTGTCGGTTGACCGGATGCTTTTGTTGGTTGACTGGATGCCTGTGTTGGTTGAGAAGATGCCTGTGTTGGTTGAATAGATGCTTGTGTTGGTTGAATGGATGCTTGGGTTATTTGAGTGGATGCCTGAGTTGGTTGAACAAACTCCTGTGTTGGTTGAGAGGATGCCTGAGTTGTTTCTATGTTTCTTGAGCATAGGTCATTAACGCGTATTGCAGTTATATTATTGATGTATTCATCTGACACAGACGTTATATCATTTCCAATCATGCTTAAAGCATTAAGATTTGGCAGATACTGGCATATATCGGCCGGAATATGTTCAAGATTATTGTTAGACAAATCTAATTGTTCCAATGATCGCAAACCAGAAAAGAAATCCGATTCTATTTGAGATATATTGTTACTATCCAGTGACAGCTTTTTCAGTGATGTAAGATTACCAAACATACCAGTTGTCAATATTGTCATTTTATTGTCATCCAAGATTAACGTTTCCAATGATTGCAAATCAGAAAAGGTATCAGATTCTAACTTATCTATTTTGTTTGTGTGTAGCCAAAGTTCTACAAGTGATGTTAGATTGCTAAACATGCCCGTTGTCAATATTGTAAGTTTATTTCCATCCAAGTATAATTTTTCCAATGATTGCAAACCTAATAAAGCATTGGATTCTATTTGGTATATATCATTACTAGCTAGAGACAGCTCTGCCAGTGATGCAAGATTACCAAACATACCACGTGTCAATATAGTCAGTTTATTGTTTAACAAGTATAATCGTTCCAATGATTGCAAACCAGAAAAAGCACCAGATTCTATTTCAGATATATTATTGTCCTTTAGATCCAGTCGTGTTAGTGATGTAAGATTACCAAACATACCATTTGTCAATATTGTCAGTTTATTGTTAGAAAAGTATAATCGTTCCAATGATTGCAAATCAGAAAAGGCACCCGATTCTATTTCAGATATATTATTCTCCTTTAGATACAGCTGTGTCAGTGATGGAAGATTACCAAACATACCATTTGTCAATATTGTCAGTTTATTGTTAGAAAAGTATAATCGTTCCAATGATTGCAAATCAGAAAAGGCACCCGATTCTATTTCAGATATATTATTGTCCTTTAGATACAGCTGTGTCAGTGATGGAAGATTACCAAACATACCATTTGTCAATATTGTCAGTTTATTGTTAGAAAAGTATAATCGTTCCAATGATTGCAAATCAGAAAAGGCACCCGATTCTATTTCAGATATATTATTGTCCTTTAGATCCAGCCATCTCACTGATGTAAGATTACCAAACATACCATTTGTCAATACTGTGAGTGTAATGTTATTCAAATATAATAGTTCCAATTGTTGCAAACCAGAAAAGGGACCCGATTCTATTTCAGATATATTATTGTCCCCTAGATCCAGCCAAAACAGTGATGTAAGATTACCAAACATACCATTTGTCAATATTGTCAGTTTATTGTTAGAAAAGTATAAATGTTCCAATGATTGCAAATCAGAAAATTCACCCGATTCTATTTTATATATATTATTGTTCTTTAGATCCAGCCGTGTCAGTGATGGAAGATTACCAAACATACCATTTGTCAATACTGTGAGTTTGTTGTTATTCAAATATAATAGTTCCAATGGTTGCAAACCAGAAAAGGCACCCGATTCTATTTCAGATATATTATTGTCCCCTAGTTCCAGCCATTTCAGTGATGTAAGATTACCAAACATACCATTTGTCAATATTGTCAGTTTATTGTTAGAAAAGTATAATTGTTCCAATGATTGCAAATCAGAAAAGGCACCCGATTCTATTTCAGATATATTATTGTCCTTTAGATACAGCTTTGTCAGTGATGTAAGATTACCAAACATACCATTTGTCAATATTGTCAGTTTATTGTTAGACAAGTCTAATTGTTCCAATGATTGCAAATCAGAAAAGACACCCGATTCTATTTTATATATATTATTGTCCTTTAGATACAGCTTTGTCAGTGATGTAAGATTACCAAACATACCATTTGTCAATATTGTCAGTTTATTGTTAGACAAGTATAATTGTTCCAATGATTGCAAATCAGAAAAGGCACCCGATTCTATTTTATATATATTATTGTCCTTTATATACAGCCGTGTCAGTGATGTAAGATTACCAAACATACCATTTGTCAATATTGTCAGTTTATTGTAAGAAAAAAATAAACTTTTCAATGATTGCAAATCAGAAAAGGCACCTGATTCTATTTTATATATATCATTGTCATTTAGATCCAGCAATGTCAGTGATGTAAGATTACCAAACATACCATGTGTCATTATTGTCAGTTTATTGTCTTCCAAGTATAATATATTCAATGATCGCAAATCAGAAAAGGCACCCGATTCTATTTCAGATATATCATTCCGATATAGATTCAGCCATGTCAGTGATGTAAGATTACCAAACATACCATTTGTCAATATTGTCAGTTTATTGTTAGAAAAGTATAACTGTTCCAATGATTGCAAATCAGAAAAGGCACCCGATTCTATTTTATATATATTATTGTCACTTAGATACAGACGTGTCAGTGATGTAAGATTACCAAACATACCATGTGTCATTATTGTCAGTTTATTGTCTCCCAAGAATAATATATTCAATGATCGCAAATCAGAAAAGGCACCCGATTCTATTTCAGATATATCATTATATTGTAGAAACAGCCTTGTTAGTGATTTAAGATTACTAAACATACCATATGTCAGTATTGTCAGTTTATTATATCCCAAGTGTAAATATTCTAATAACTGCAAACCAGAAAACGCTCCTGTCTCTATCTCTGCTATCTCATTGGAGCTAAGCGTGAGACGGGTGGTGTTAGGAGCAGAATCAAACATGTCTGCTGTTACATCAGTCAGCTTCCTCCGAGCCAAGTCAAAAGTAGAACCATCGGTTATTGTGGGATCGATCGCTTGGTGTAGGATTATCATCACCAGTGACTTCAACATCAACTTCTGAAATGTTTTAAATATGAATAATGATTGTTATTTGTGACGATTTGGGAGATTGAATTTTCAACTATAATTTACCATGTTGTATTTAACAATTATGCCCTCTGAATGTAAAACATTCCAGTACCTCTATAACATTCAAATAGATGTACAGGGTGGTCCAAAAGAGAACCTCTGCAACAGGCTGTATTTTCCTTAATACAAGCATGAATTGGCTTATATTATCACATCTTGTAGAAAGGGGTCTATCATTTTTTGTTGATGCCATAATTTATTCCCAGTCTCATTTTGGAGAAATTAAAACACTTAAACAAACATGCCTAAAATTAGATATTGTGCATGTGATTGACGGAAATTGTTGAAACACATTGGATAATCTTAAAATATCTTTCAGTGAAAGATATTAGTTAAAACACTAGTATATGACAAATGGGACATAAAACACATTTGATACTTTCATTGACCGTTTTGAAGCAATTAACAGTTAAGGGACATGTTCACTACACAAACGGTTAGAAGGGAGGGGGGGGCAAAATTACCCCCTGTGACCCAAAATCTGAGTAGCCCTTTATATAAATATCTCATACAAATCAAAAGGAAATCTAATGCTCAGTGTTTATAATTTCTGCACATTTCAAGACTAAGAAGAATGTATGGTTCCAACAAAAAATTAAGACCTTCCTCTACAAAATGTGAAAATATGAAAGGATTGCTGCAGGTAATAAGTGAAATATAGCCAGTTACAACAGTTCACCTTTTTGGACCACTCTGTATATGTTACATATTTGACATTATTATATCACTGTCATATTCCTCCCTCTCTGATTGGTCCATGCCCTACACATGACTGAAAAATAACAACGGAAGGCACGTGACTTCCGTATCACGACTTAGTCCAGCGTAATTTTAATTTTACATATACCCAGGAGTATATTGTTATGATTAATTAGACATTAATAATGTAGTTTGTTATTCAATTAATGTAGTGAGGAATATAACAGTGAATAATGAAACAAATATTTAATTCTATTTTAGTTGAATATACGTGACACTTTCACAAGATGATATTCCACTAGACCTTTGGGCTTCGTGGAATATCATTTGTGAATGAAGAACGGGCATTCACCTCAATATGATTAAATATTTATATATTGTTTTATGTTTAACAGATAAAAACCTAATGTAATGAAAATGTGAATTTCTTAAATAAGGGAGGGGGGGGGGGTGGGGTCAATCCGACCCCTTCTCGTTTTTTCAAGAGTACTTTTTGCAAATCTTTTTTGCGTCCCCGTTGTTTGTTTAAACTTGAGCCACGGATAAAATATACTTTTTGGCGTAAAAACCAATGTTATTGGGGGTAGAGGGCCAGAGTTATGATAGTTACAACTCGATGCCAATAAAATTGAAATTCATAAAATGTTGATTGTCACCTTGTTTCTAATAGGCAATACAAAAGTATGATTATTGCTGTTTGATGAATAATCATTTGGCATATTGAATTCTCTTTTCAATATGCTTAAAGGAACATTCCTGGCCAAACCTCTTCTATCCTGATGTGATAGCTATAATCATATATATATTTTCCATATTACCAAACATACCATTTGTCAATATTGTCAGTTTATTGATAGAAAAGTATAATCGTTCCAATGATTGCAAATCAAAAAATTTAGCAAAACATGGGGAAATGTTTTAATATAGTCAATATTGATAATTTAAAAATGTAGTGCTCATTTCCAGTAAGCTGCCATCTTTTAAGATTTTACTCAGGAAGTGATGTCATCGACTCTCAACTTTCACGACCTTACATATAACAGTATAGGAAAATAGCACAATATCACTTCTAGACTTCTAGTGATCCTTACTTTATTCGCAAAAATATGTCCAGAGCTTGTCAGCTTAGAATAAAAGAAGAGACTTTTAGAAGGATTAAGTCATAGACAAAATTAAAAAAGAATATTCAGCTGGTTTTGTAATTCTTAATAGCTCCTTATAGTGTTATATGCAAAGTTGAGTCGATTACATCACTTCAAATTTAAGCCAATTGCTGTAATCATGGGGCATTGATTGCTATATTGGAAACATGCGAGCATGTGCATGCATCGTGAAAGAGAGTAAATACAGGGTAATTGGGTTAGAAAACAGCGAACAATTTTTTCCTTTTTCACGGGGAGCAATCATACATGTCGTACTATGTATGCACACGCGAATTCAATGTTTCGCAGATATGTCACAAATGGAATTTTCGCGAAAAGTACGTGCCGCAGATTTAAAGTGTTTCACAGTTATCTGAAAAAGTTTGTAGAAAGATCTATACTAGCTAGTCGAAGATCCCGTTTATGCTAAAAAGTGGAAATTGCAGAGGTTCAATAGTTCAATCAAGTTGAAGTAATACTGTCATTGTTAAGTTCCAGTTTTAATTGCATCTGACCCCCTTCCCGTTAGTTTTATGAAAAATACGTTGTGGTCCATTTGTCACTCCTATGCATTCTATAAAGAACCTATGAATTGTTAAAAACACGATGTTTTTTGGTTAATTTATGACGATAAGGCTTTCCTGAGGAGATTTAGCTGGGTTGGACAAAAAGTTAGTTTGGGGAAAAATAATATAGGCTAATTGGCGAGATCATTATTGAAATATTGATTGTTTTCTGTATCTTGAAATGTAGAAATGATAGCAGCATAATTAGTTTGTCTAAACACTTGTTTTGAGGGTGACTGATTGGATATTGTTAAATCATACAAGAATAACTTATTAGATAGAGTGCATAATTGCAACTTGGTATATTTTATGATTGAAATATCGCATTTATTCAGATATCAAGCTTGTAAGCTTTTGTTCAATGAATATTACTGACAAATTAACTAAATTGAGGTTTTTATTGATTTAATTTGGTTGCCAAAAATAATTTATTTCGGGGAAAATTATATATACAAATAAGGGCAGCCATTATTGAAATATCTTACATAATTTCAAAAGTAATAATGATAGCATCACAATTGTTGTGCCCTTGCGTACCCATGCTTTAAGGCTCAATGAATAAGATAATGTAAAAAGATACAAGAATAATTTGTTATATTTCAATGTACTACATTATATGCATATTAGCCAAAATGTTTTCAGGGTCAGTCAGATATACGGTGATGTTAAAATATACAATGATAACTTATTAGGTATTGTGCGTATATGCAAATAAGCATATTTATTATTTCGCATTTATTCAAAATATTTTAATAAGCAAGTTTGCAGTACAAATGCGACTAAATGGTGGTTTCCTTAAATTCTAAGTAGTTTAATTGGGTTGCAAATTATTGAATTTCTAACATATTGTTAGAAATGAAAATGATAGCCCTGGGACCCATGTTTTCAGCGTCAATGAATTAGATAATGTTAAAATATACAAAAATAACTTATCAGATAGTGTACATATTTTATGGTATGCATATTTAGAGATATCAACGTTTTTATGATGAAATTAGATCACCAATAGTGACAAATAAATCAATTAATTACTTGATTCATGCAGGTGTTTAATGGATAGAAAAATAATGAAACAGATCCCTGAATTACACCATGAGTTAATAGTGAAGTATGGTTGAATGATATGTAAGTTCAACGGGTCAACGTACACATAATTTGATAGGACCTCCCACCCTTTTACGCCTGGTAGATAACGTACACTTATGATTTTTTAAAGTGTAGCCAAAAACGTTTAGTTTCATTAAATTTTCAACCGAACTTGATTGTGTAACTAAGAGAACCATATTCTCATAAAAATAATAAGGCGACAAGGGAAAAAATGATCAAAGAAAATGAGAAAAAACAACATTTTCCAACCTATCAATTTTTGCGGTTAGACTTATTACAAAAAATTGAGCACTGCTCGAAAATCTTTTAACATAGCTAATCAGAAAGCTTAAAGTCTTCCCAAGCGAATACATACATATTTAAACATAAGATCCTCAGATTCCTCAGATTAAATTTTTAAAACCTACATCAAACCTACATCATACTGTAGCCTAGTTTTCGCTTCAAATTAGTAAATAGTGACGCAGTACATCTAAAGTGTATGGCAGTATATTTTGTCACTGTACGATGTCGATGAAGAGGCGTCTAATAACGATGTTATGAGTTAAAAAAGGAAAAAACAGTTAATCGCCAAGTATTCGCGAATCACGTTCTCTGCATGAATTTTTGAGAAAAACAGTTTTTATCAAAATATACTCAAATATCTTCGTTTTTTGCATATTTCTAAAGATCAAAACAAACTGTTGTGATAGAATTATGACGATACCATTTTCCAAATTTAATTGTTTTTCTTTATTCTCCCCTACCCTTTATTTTTCAATTTCACTATTTCGATGTTTGTGTCGTTGCTAGGCAACATCATCGACGGGAATTATGTTGAAACAATACCTAGCTAATCATTCATACATCTGCATACTAAACTACTAATTGTCATCTCGTATGAATGTAAAGACAAAAACAAGTTGACCTTGAAATTGCTGACTATTCAATTTCACGTTACATTGACTTCAACTGGATTTTTTTAAAACATATTTCGACCCTAGAGTCCCAATATTTTCAGCAAACTGTATTTTAAAACAAAACAAAACATCTGGACCTCCTAAAATATTGGTTCAAATGTTGCTGTGATATAGTGCGCTACGGATAAGTCATGTTCCGAAGTCGTACAATGCAAAACAATTAAATCATATCACAGGGAATAAACTGGAAATTAAGACATGATGTCTTTGTTTCACCTTGACCGGACTTCCGATTGATGATATTTTTGTTTTCTCGATGTAATATCACTTTTATTCTTCAAGTTTGAACACTATATAAGTTACATAAAGTAATGACACGTCGCAAAAAGCTGGCGCACTTGTGTTTTTAGGGTATCGCATGGATGTTTAATTAATTCTTCGGAATATAAGGAATAATTCAAATTAAAAGTATATCTCATTTTAAAGCTGCTTTAATGAAGTTTTCAAATGAACTA